TTGTAGGAATGAGAGCCAGCGGGAGTTGGGCAGCAGAATGACTGGAAAAACAGAGTAGTTGCTGCACAAGCAGGGCAATTACAGGACCAAGGCTTCTAGACACAGAGGAGTTCCTAGACAACATCAAGTTCTGGGCCAAGACTCTTGGAGGGAAGAGGAGTTCCTGTACCAAGCAAAGCAGTTCTGGGACTAAGCAGGAGGCTGAAGCCAAGGAGCACAAAGGATTTACAGAGCTGTGATTTACAGATGCAAGCCCAGACCTCGCCCCTCAGTGGTGCCGGGAATTAAGTGGACTGTCTTCAAGTGCTCTAAGGGCCAGCCTGAGGAAGAAGGGTTAGATTTGCTCTGTTTGGTCCCAGAGGGCAGGACCAGGAGCAGGACGCAGAAGTTACAAAGAGTCAGATTTAGATTCCATTTAAGGAAAAAATTCCTAAAAATATGAGCTGCCTAAAAGTTGGGAGGCAGCATTGCCCAGCACGTAGAATGTTAGATTTATAGTCATGAAGATCTCGGTTCTAATCCCACCTCTGACGCTTATTAGTCATGTGACCATGGAGAGTCATTTGAACTCACTGAACCTCAGTTTCCTCATATGTAAAATGGAAAAATAATACTAATAATACCTTTAGTAACTACCTTGCAGAGTTGCTGTAAGTGTAACCAGGTATTCATTCAAACTTTGCCTGTTTGAGTCTGTGAAACCTAAACTAGGAATTGTAATCCTGAACAGAATATTTCTTTCCTCACCCTGGGAGCGAGATTCACAAAGGCATTTTTTAAATGATCAAAAAGGACTGGGAGGAGGAACAGTTGACGCTGGTACACAAAGTTAGTTGAAGTTTGGGTTTGGAAAGGAGTAAGGATAATGACAGTGGAATAAAGGCAGTGAAGGGGGGGAGGTAAAAGAAGGGATAGAAAGGGAGAACAAGAGAGAGACGGAGAGGTTAAAGGAGAGGGAGAAGGTGAGGAAGAGAGTGGGAAAGGAGAGGAGAAGATAAGAGAGTGAGGGGGAGGGAGAAGGAGAAAGGGTGAATGAGAGGGAGAAGGGGAGAGAGAGACAGAGAGACAGAGACAGAGAGAAGAGAGAGAGAAAGAGAGAGAGAGAGAGAATGAGGAGAGAGGATGGATGAGAGGGAGAGAGGGAGAAGGAGAAGGAGAAGGAGAAGGAGAGAAGGAAAGGGATAAGGATAAAGAGAGAGAAACCCTTGTAGGCATTTTTTTTCAATGCAGGTTCAGAGACTAGACTACATACAGGCTTGTCTGCTGAACGCTCATTGGGGAAAAAATAATGTGGCTGGTTGGAATGGACTAATCCTGCAGGCTATTGTCACCCTTGGGGATCAACAAAAGGATAGTGAAGATTTAATTCTTTTTTCCTCTTTCCTTGGTGCCTACAGTGAGTGAGCATTTTCTATATAATTTTCTTTGTTTCTTTAAGCTGTTTCTAATTCCTGATTGGTTTCATATAAAGTTATGGTTAACCATACTTTCTTTGTGATTCTTGCATGTTAATTATGTACTGAGGTGTTGCAATGGAGGAACCAGGGAGGGGGTTTGCAGTACATAATAAAGAGACAGAGGATAAAACTTCTTTCTCTGACTGCCTGACATAACAGAGAAAAGCAATCTTTTCTTCCCTTAACTGACTGGGGGCTAAGCCAACTGAGAAGGGATTTTATAATTTGTACTTAAATCATAACTCTTATGGAGAAGCAACCATGGTCTAGTAGATAGCTGTCCTCTGAGCCAGGAAGACCTGGGTTCAAGTTCTGTCTTTTATGTGTGATCTTGGTCAAGTCACTTCTCAGTCCTTTAGACAACTCTTTATGCTGCAGAGAAGATCTCAATCTGCATTGGTAGAGAGAATATCCGCCCCTAGGAGTTCCATATGTAAGTGAAATCACAGGTTCAGTCCGATGCTAATATCTCTTATAAATTCTTAAATAGCAGAGATTTAACTCCAGGCCTGAGACTCCTGGGCAACTGAATGCCAAGTTCAGGTGCTAGGCATTTCAACAAAGCTTCCAGCCTCCAGAGTGAGGGGTGAAGGTGACGCTTGGACCAAGGGAAGGGGATGCCCCCTGGGTCACCTAGTTTGAGAGAAGAGTGATCTGGGAAGAGTGATTATGCCCTGTGGGGGGAACCCCAAATTCCAAGGGATGAGGGTTATTCTTCTTCTGATTCAGTACCATCTGCCAGTTACTTAAGGCTCACGTGAAATAATTCACGTAAAGCAATTTGTAGACACAAAAGTATTATGCAAATTGTTCATTATTATTGAGCCACTGTGGTAGGCTCCCCAAAGCTGGAGGTCTTCAAATAGAGGCTGATGACTACTTGTCATGGAATGCCGAAGAGGTTATTACCTTTCAGGTACGGGTTGAACTAGGTGAGCTCAAAGGTCCCTTCCAAATCTGTGATTCTGTGAACTTAATATCTTTCCACCTAAACTTGCTCCATTTTTTTGATTTTACAAATTCCATTATTGGTAACATTGCTTACCTGGTCAAAAACCTTGGGGTTATTTTGGGATGCTTCTTTTTCCTTTACCTCTTAAATCCATTCAATTCCTAAATCCTGTCACTTCCAACTCTGCCATACCTTTTGAATCTGTTACTTCCTCTCTGTTCTCAGTGCTGGTTCCTTGCAAGTTAAATATTGTTTCATTCTTCGTATTTGCATCCCACTAATGGGCATTGTGCTGTTGTTTGCCCTTCGTTCTAGAAGGAGGAAAGGAAGGAAGGAAGGAAGGAAGGAAGGAAGGAAGGAAGGAAGGAAGGAAGGAAGGAAGGAAGGATGAAAGGAGCTATGTTGCCCAAGTGGAACTGGCTAGTTGGTTCCCCAGTAGGGCAGCTCAGACTACTCACAGGTTGTTTGTCCTTTGTCCTTGAAGAGGACCATGGCATCAGGAAGGTGGTGCCATGACTTGCAAGTGAATTGGATTTAAGTGAGGAAGGGCTGTGCAGAGTCACCAGCCTCCCTTTCTCCTCTGGAGCCATCTCGGTCGGTCCGGTGGCAAGATATCGATCAGGACCACTGGAGACAGCCCCCGGGCATTCAGTGCTAGGCACTTAATGAATACTTATTGATTGATTGTTTGCTACTACCTCAGCCTAGGCCTATTTTACTACTTTCCCAAAGTAATGCAATAGTATCTAAATGGCTCTCCACACCTCTATGCTTTCCCTAACCTCCAAACCATCCCTTATGTCATTGGCAAAATAATCTTTCTCATGCATCATACATACTGTTGCATTACTCTTCTGTTAAAAAATGTTCACCAGTCACCCATTGCCTTGTGATTGAAATGAAAATTCCTTTGACAGGCATTCCAGACTTTAAAAAATCTGCTGCCACCCTATTTTTCCAGCCTTCTCTTATACTACTCCCTTCCACGTGCTCTACATTTCTGCCAAAATAGGCTATCCCCCTACCTTGCACCACACCCCACCTCCATTTCTTTGCTTATGCTGTTCTTTATGCTTAGAATGTCCGTCCTTCCACTTTGGACTATGAATTCATACCCATCTGTTAAAACTCAACCTAAATGCCATCTTTTCCATGCCATCTCTTCCTCAGACTCCCCACCTATTACCTTTCACTTAGGTACCTAAGTAGGTAATATTATATAGAAGAAAGATGATAATTATTGTTTTATCAAAAATTCTTTGTGTTGGTATCTAATCCCCTGCTACACTGTAAGTTCCATAAGGGGAGGGACCACATCTTACTTAAATGTCATATGTCCCCCAGGGCCCAGATTATGGCTGTATATCATAGATGCTGAATTAATGTCTGTTGTGTTCACTTGAGGCCATTTCTTTCTCCCTGTCATCCAAAGTATATAATGTCAACTTTTACAAATGACAGCACAGACAAGTTTTGTGACATCATAACAATCATGCATTCCATAGCACTTTGTGACTGCAAAGTGCTTTATCTAAGTTACCTTTGTTGACCCTCACACAGAGCCAGCACTTGAATCCAGGCCTCTGAGCTCCCAGGCCAGAGCTCTTTCTCCTGCACCACAGCCAGTGCTGCACTTGCTTGTCTAAAGCATCTCAAGTCATTTTGTAAGAAATGCAGGTATTTCCTTGGGTTCAGGATGTTTGTACCTGCCTGTCAATTTCCCCCAAAAGCTCCCAGCTCCCAAAACCACTCTATTATGTATTCCAGTGTTTAGCATAATGCTTGGCACACAGTAGGCACTTAATAAATGTTGATTGATTATTCTCTGTGGCCCCTGCTATTCATTGACTGCTCCCAACTGTCCTAATCTCTAGGGGAAGAAACGAAGATTCCAAACAGAATAACATGTCTATTAGGGAGAAAAGAGTTGCCCTTATCAACTGGTTGATTAAAGAAAACTAGAATTTAAAACTACCTCAAAGGACCAAGTCGGTCAATCGACATGGTACATTTGCACATACTAGAGATGGTAGGATGAAAATTTTTATTTCAAAGTAAAATTATAACATCTGCTTATAATAATTTGTATGTGAGTACATGTTCATAGATAGGAGTTATAGTAAATCATAGTAAAATTTTTAAAAGTTCTTGCATTGATTAATATAATTGATGTGTCTGGTCCTTTATTAACCAGCCAACAATTTATTATGATGCAACAGGCCTTGTAAGATGGAAGAGAGAGAGACACTCTCTTTGTTCTCCCACATCCCTATGTGCAGGACAAATGAACTGCATGGGCAGCAAGTTGTCTTCAGAACAGGTTGAATAACCAAGCCCAAAAGGTAGTGACTAATGGATCAACATCAACATGAGATCTCTAATTGTTAGGAAATTTTTATTGATTTTCATTCATTCACTCATTCATTCATCCATCCATCCATCCATCCATCCATCTACTAAATGTCTGCTATGATGTACAAGTTACTGCATCCAGCAACAGAGCAGTATGAGAGTAGGATGAACTGGCTGCCTTGGGAGGTAGCGAGTTCAAGGGGATGGGGGATGGCTGCTTGGCTAGCACTGCTATGGAGGGGATTCATTATCAAGTACAAATTGGGCTGAATCTTCCTTCCATCTCTGAGATTCAATGATTGTAAGCACTACAGGAGTTTGGAGATCAGTATGTGGTCAAAGAAGGAAGAGGCAGGGGTTTGAACAGGATGTCAGAGGCTAAGATCTGAAGAAAGAGGAAAGAGGGGGAAATGGTATGAACAAAGGCACAGAGGTAGAAAATAACAACAACAACAATAATAATAACAATCACTATAGCTAGCATTTACATAGCACCGACTATGTGCTAGGCTCTATGCTAAGCACTTTACAAATATTATCTATGCATGTGCCAGAGCCAAAGATTCTGACCCAGCCCCTCAAGTCCAATGTTCTTCCCACTATATATCATTCTTTTCCTTGGGCTATGAGGCAGCTTGGTGATACAGTGGATAGAGGTCTAGGCCTGGAGTCAGGAGGATCTGAATTCAAATTCAGCCTCACTTGTGTACTAGTTGTGGTACCCTAGACAAATCATTTAACCTCTGTCTGCCTCAGTTTCCTCATCTGTAAAATGGAGATAATAATAGCACTTGCCTCCCAGAGTTATTGTGAGGATAAAATAAGCTGAAGGTTGTAAAGCAACTGGTACATAAGTGCTATATAAATACTAGCTATTATTATTATTATTATTATTATTATTATTATTATTATTGTTCTTGTCTCCCTCTATGCCTTTGTTCACTCTATTGTACGTACCTTGTATTCCCTCTGTCCATGGCACCATCCAGCTACCTTTAAAGTAACTTGGTCTCAGCTTGTATACATGAAGGTAGAAAGTAAAGCCATAGAGTTGAATGAGATTTCTAAAAGAGGAGAGAAGAGCCAAGGGCAGAAACATTCATATTTGGTGAAGAAGAGAAAGATGAAGAAATGGTGATAAAGGAAGAGATCGAGGAGAGGAAAAAATGCCTTGGAATTCAAGGAAGAAAAGAGGACCAGCAAAGGAAGGGGTTATCAACAGAGCAGTGCTGTAAAGGGAAACAGGAGGATGACAACTGAGCGGTCATGAGATTTAGCAAGTAGGAATTCACTCACGATCTTGGACGATGCCATTTCAGTGGAGTGGGAGAGATGGAAGCCAGATTGCAGGCGACTGAAGCGTGAGCAGGCGTTATGGAGTGTATACTACTTTTGAATGAATGAATGAATGAAAAAAGCATTTATTGAGTGCTTACTGCATGCGAGACCTGGGGGATACAAACAGAAAAAGGAATAAGGTCCCTGTTCTCAAAGAGCTCACACTCCATTGGAAGGAGGCAAAGCAAGATTAGCTGCAGAATAGAGGGAAAGGGCCAGAAGTCCTAAAGGTTCAAGAGGGGAGCAAAGAGCAAGGCCCAGGGGTCCTTAGGCTGAGTCACTGCGGCCAGCTGATAGGTCCAAGGGTCTGAAGGGCAGATGGTAAAGCCTGGTGGTCCTCCATTTTACTAGGAGGAGTAGAGTTGATGCCTCCCATCTCATCCAAGCCTTGTGATCAGGCAAGTGGCCAGGATGAGTTAGGGTATCCTCCTCTTACCACCCCCACCTCTGGCCAGGTGGAAGAGCTGAAGGGAGAAGGCAAGCGGGCAGAATGTCCACACGGTGGCAGGTCTTCCAGCACTCAGGGTGACCTAGATGGATCCGGGAGAAGCCCAGCAAGGAGGATGGGGAAAGGAGGAAAATAAAAGGAGAAAGGCATTCCTGGCACCACCACTAGCAATGTCCCAGAAGAAAGAGACTATCATAGCTTGAGGTAATAACAGGATCAAAGGAACTTTTTTTAAAAAGGATAATGGACACCTGACTATGTGTTTAGGCAGAAGGGAAAGAGTCAATAGAGGAATAAAGGCTAAAAAGTTTAGATCTGCAAATGATCTTTTCTTTTTTTTAATTATATAGAAATGTATTATAGAAACATATCATATATATGTATGTGTATATATATATATATATATATATATATATATATAATATATAATATATACACATACATACATTGTTTTCAGTTTCAAATTCTCTCCCTTCCTCACCCATTGAGAAGGTAAGAACTACAATACCATTATACATATGAAGTCACACAAAACATATTAAGCTGGGAAGTATCTTAGACATCCCCTAACCCAGGGATTCTTAGCCTTGTTAAGATTTATGATTTTGTTTGTTATGGACTCCTTTAGCAATCTGCTGAAGCCTATGGACCCCTTCTCATGATAAAGTTTTTAAATGCATAAAATACATATGATTATAAAAGAAACCAATTACATTGTTCTACAGTTATCAAAATGTTTTTTTTAAAAAGTTTACGGGCCCCAGGTTAAGAATCCTTGCACCTGACCCCCTCATTTTACAGATGAAGAAATCAATGAATAGAAATGAGAAATCATAAGCAAAAAATCAGTTTAATTACCATAGACTGTCCTGTGACAGAAAGGTGGTGGCCCAGAACTCTTAATTAACAAGGGGGGGGGCACATAGAAGCTTCCTCCTAGAGTTTAAGGAACTCTAGACCAGAAATCAGGAGACCAGGGTTCTCTTCAGGCTTTGCTACTAACTTGATATGTGACCTTAGGCAAATCATTTCCATCTCTGGGCCCTCCTTGCACATTTGTTAACAATACCTTTGTTTTGTCCTAAACAAACTTTGACAGGGACTGGATTGCTCATTTTGCATTCTCTAAACTCCATCCAAGAGTTGTTATTGTCATGAGGTACTCAGTGGGGACATGACCTGAGCCCTGGGCCAGGAGAAGCCAGACTCCATCAGTGTTAGTGAACAGACCTTCTCTCTGGGCCAGGCCAAAGGATCAGTCTCTTTTTTCCCAACACCCTACCCCCATCCTCCTCCCAGAAACTGCTAGTGATATAGGCACTACAGGGGTGGTGTGTGTGTGTATGTGTGTGTGTGTGCATATATTCTCATGACTGAGCACATTCAGCAGCACTCCTGAAAAAGTAAGGATGATGAGAGCGGGGAATCCTGCTGGGGGAAGAGGTGGGCAGCCCAAACCTGGGGCGCCTGACCATGAACCTTTAGGACATAGAAATAGGGATAGTAGGACCTATGATTTCATTGTCTAGGGAGCTCACAATGAGTTATCTCCTCTACCAATGCAGGTCAGCGTCTTCTCTGAAATATAGTGTTAGAGAGATGCCTGATATACAGGAAGGTTACAAATGGCTTTCCCAGTCAGTAGGTGTTAGATAAGATCTGAACCTTGGTCTTCCTGATTCTTTGGGAATTTTCTATCCATGATGCCTCTCAGCACATAGGAAACACTCAATAAATATTGACTATTAGATTGCTGACTGGCAATGGAAATACCACTGGACTCATGACAGCTTGGTTCTCATCCCCGCTGTTCCGCTATCTAGCTCTTTGACCTTGGTTATGACACTTCCCATCACAGAGCCTTGGCACCCTTTATGAAATGAAGGGGTTGTATGAGATAAAGGGTTCACTGGAGGTCCAAAGACCCTTGGGGCCCATGAACTTGGATGGGAAAAGAATTACATCCTTATTTTCACTTATGTCTGATGGGAATTTAGCATTTCCTTCACTTATTTAAAAACATTCTTCTAAGAAGGGCCCCACTGGTTTTATCAGACTGACAAAGGCAGGGGTGGGGAAGCTGCGGCCTCAAGTGCACATGTGGTCCTCCAGGTCCTCAAGTGCGACCCTTTGACTGAATCCAAACGTCACAGAACAAATCCCCTTAATAAAAGGATTTGTTCTATAAAAGCTGGACTCAGTCAAAAGGCCGCACTCAAGGACCTAGAAGGCCACATGTGGCCTCAAAGGCTGCAGGTTCCCTCTTCCTCCCCGTCCTCCCACCAAAGGGATCCATAACATAAAAAAGATTAAGAACCCCTAGAATGGATGGGCTTTTAGGGTCCTTTCCACATTCTGTGCCTTTACGCATGTTCTAGTCTTATCTCTTCCCAAGTAGACTAAGTTCCTTGAGTAGCTTCTGCTTTTCTGCATCCTCAGCAATATCCAAACCAAGGCACCGCCACACCCAGGAGACATGTGCAAGCTGGTGTCCACTGACTAAAAACTCAAACCTGCCTTAAGTCTGAGGCTCAACAGATCGAACCCAAGGACCCGTCTCTCCCTCTTGGGGAACATAAAAGGAGAGCCACAAAAATCACAAAACATCCAAGTTGGCAGAGACTTTAAGAGATTATCTAGGCCTCACTCCTTCTCCCCCCCTCAAAGAGGGCAGGTGATTTGCCCCAGCTGACCCAATTAATCGGTGATGGAGCTGGGAGGAGAATCCAGGCCTTCTGACTCCCAGTCCAGGATGGGAACTCAGAGACCAGCTCCTTCTGCGATCCCTACTGCTCCCTGAATCTCTAAAAGGACCCACACCCAGACACTGAAGATGCTGGATGAAATTCCTTCCCTCCTTCCCTGCCCTCCCCTTCCCCACCCCCACTGGCTTTATCAGTTTTCAGACCTGATTCTAAGCCCTTAAGAAGGTCCAGATGGTGGTGGGGGCAGGGCCAAGGGGTGTCTGTGACACGGGGGTAGTTCTGGAAGGATCTTGCTCACTGGAATGCTGAGGCGGGGCCCCACCTGGGATGGTGGGGGAAGAGAAAGGAGAGACACAGGCTGAGGGGGGCTGGAATTTCATGGGCAGGCTCCACTCCTCAGCTGTCACATTCCCCCCAGGCTCAGCTAAACCAGTGCTCCGATGCTTTCCCATATTTAGACAGGGAATGTCTGCTGACTCCAGGGCTTTTCGGAACGTCATCCACACCACCCGCCACCATCCTGGGTCAGGGGCTGGGGCTGGGCCCCGTTCCAGCCTACATGAAGTCCTGAGCACACAGAGATCTGAGGCAAAGGGAGGGAGGGATGATGCGCTTTGCCTGGGAGTTATGGGAAGATGTACCTCACCACACCTTATTTTAAGTGAGAGCTCTGAGAGGGTGTAGTCTGAACTGGGTATAGACTTTAAGGCCCCAAGGGAGTCAGTTAGGTCTGAACAAAGAAGGGAAGTTGGCCAGGCAGGAGGCCCAGCCCCCAGATATCCCCAGGCATGTGAGCCCTAACAGCTGGGCCTTCTGAGGAATACTGCTGAGAGAGTGTGAAGGCACTACTCTGTTGAAAAGAAACACTCTATAACTCACATGATGTCTGCCTGACACCTGGTGGGAGGGGGCCAGTTATGAGACACTCCTGAGAAACTGGAGAATTTCCGAAAGGCTTTGGCTTGCGTTCTTTATGGAGGTGAGGGCTGAGGACTCCAAGGAGATCCCAGAAGCTGAAAGGGAAAGATGATGTCTGACCCATTCTGCAAAGCTTCAGAATGCCTCATGTAGGACAAGGGCATTGTTTTCAAATCAATTCATTAGGTCTTTATTGACCGCAGTCTCCTTGCCTAGGCAAGATAAAGAAGGAGTCCCACTCTCCCTGCTCACCTGCACTTCCTGGTCTTCCAGCCTTCTTTCAAAACTCAGTTCAAACTCCAGCTTCTACAGAAGGTCTTTCCTGGTGCCCTCTCCCCCGAGTTGTTCAGGATTCCTCTCTGAGATTATCTCTATTCTACCTTCTGTATAGCTTGTTATTTACAAGATCTCTCCCCCATTTCAATGGAAACTTCTTTTTTTTTTTAAATCTTTCTTTGTATCCCCAGCATTTAGTACAAAATAAATGCTTAATAAATGTTTTTAATTGATAGATCGATTTAAGATGCTCAGAGCTTTATTAAGAAAATAGAACTCACACACATGAAATTTTAAGAGAATCAGAATAACAGAGCTGGAGACTAGTTCAAGCCTGCCATTTTACAGTGGAGGACATAAGCTAAGCGAGGGTTGAATTTGATCATTAAGATCCTTTCTATCTGCAATATTCTCTGTTCTAAGATCCCTTCCATCTCTAACAGGCAACATTCTAAGAGGTTCCCTCTAGCTCTACTTATGATCCTAAATCATGTTCCCTTTGGGGGCCTCAGGCTCCCTATCTGTAAAATGAGAAGATTTGAATAATCTCTAGGATTCTTTCCATCTCTGATACTCCCTGTTCTAAGGTCCCTTCCAGCTCTGACAGTCTATGGCCTAAGGCTCCTTATAGTTCTGACATTCTATGTTCTAGGATTCTTGCTGACTTCACTGGAAGGAAATTGCTGGCCAGGCTTTAATGATGCTTTTTACATAGCTCAATTTAACAACTTGGCTACACTGTCAGCCCTCTCCCTGCCCCACCCCATTACCTCTCACCCCATGTTCACTCATGCCATCAAGAGCTGGGGTGTAGAGTGTGGTCACTGTGACAGTGACAGCTCCTCTTTTTTCCCTTCCCAAGCACTATATGGTCTTAGACAGTCATGTGATGAGCACCAACTGTGGACACCCCTTGTTTCTCTCTGCTTATATTTGCTCACATAGCATGGCAGAGAAGCTGGTGCCCTCCTTGGGGCTAGTGGCTTACAGGAACTGCCATCCAGCTCCCCCTTCCTTCCCAACAGTGCGGATGGATCACAGCACCAGGCACTTGTGGACATTTGGCCTGCAACCAGACAGGTTTGAGTGGAAACCTATGACTAAGCTTCAGCTCTATATCCTTTGCACTTCAAAAGGGTCCTACAATTTAGAGCCCAGGCATAAGTGAGTCAAGTGGATAAAGGAAGCGAGTGAGGCTAAAATACAATTTGCATCATCAATCTGAATCCCTTCCCACAACCCCAGATCTTTCCCTTATAACTCCCTGAGACTGCTTGTTGTCTTCTGAAACATCTTTATCTACAGCATGCTGTTTCTCATGTGAATGCTCTGGGTTCCACAGTCAAAGCTATCTTGGGCAGCATGGTGCCACAAGATTGGGATTCTAGCTCTGGCTTTGTTACTAACTCCCTGGGTGACATCAAACAAGTTCTTTCTCCTTCTCTAGGTCTTGGATTTCTTTTTCATAAAGCGGCAAACACCTGAAATCCCAGCTATCAGGGAGACTGAGTCTTGTACATCTCTTGAGCTGGGGAGTTCTGAGCTGCAGTAGAGATAAGAGCCCCAAGGAGTGGGGAGCGCACCCAGTTGCATAAAGAAGGGGGAACTGATTCAGGTTGGAAATAAATCAGGTCAAAGAGGATCAGTAGTGGGATCTGGCACCTTCATTTCCAGCCTGGGTGAGAAGGGAGACTCAGTCTTTAAAAGCCAAAACCAAGGAGATTAGACTAGATTATCTCCATAATTTCTTCTAGTTCTCATATTCTGTTTTTTAAAGGGCCTAGCCTACTCTGACATTCTATGTTCAGTGGTCTTTTCCAGTTCTAATGCTCTCAGAACTTCTTTATATTTGGAGGCCATGCCATATTGGGGAAGTGGTAAGGGGGCAGTTGACCAAATTTCTTCTCCACTGGATTGCTGTGCAGAACATTAGGCAAGACACTGGAATCAAGACCCCCCAATGCCCTTTGCTGCTAGGGTCCTTGAAAGTTAGAGGCATAGAGCTGGGGACCTTAAGTAAGATGTACTTTAAAGTGTTGGTCTATTATAAGAAGGAAACCACACGTGGCTGACACAGGGAGGCTGGTGATTATATGGACAGGCTTAACCTCATGGGAGAATGTTCTTCCCCAACTTCATCTGTGGCACGGGGTGAACCACTTATCATGCCTGGGATTTAATTTCTTCCTCTGTAAAATAAGGGCGTTAGATTCAATCTCTAAGGTCACTTCCAGCTATGACATTCTATGTTTTATAATCCCTCCTTAGCTCTGGTATTCAATGCTTCCAGCCCCGACATTCTGTGGTTAATGATTCACCCTGCTGCTTGTCTCCAACTCAGAATCAGATTCCCAGAGCTCAAAGGGACCTTAGCAGGTCACCTCTCTAGTCTAACCCTGGCCTGAAGCAGAACTTCCCCTTGTAACCTGCTATCTTTCTTCTTCCTCTCATCAGCTCCTAAAGAGGTCCGGGTGAGAAGAAAGAACCTCTAGGGGGAAAGAGCCTTAACATTGCATTTCCTCCAAGTCCAGAGTTGCCCTTAATAGGAAATTTATCCCATGCCTAAAGAGTAAGCAGGAACAGCCTCCCCTCCCCCACCAAGCTTGCCAGCCCAGAAAGAACAAGGCATTCCCAGGCTGATGGAAAGTGCAGCAGCAACTTTGGTTGCTTCCCATACAGCCTAAATCCAAGGGAGATTTACATCAACGAAGGAGATAGAGAAGCCCCAGAGTCTCAGATCTCTATTTATGGCTCTCAGAACCCTTCCAATGGGAACTGCTTGCTCAGAATTTCGCCTTGAGCAGTGAGAATGGCACTGTGGGGCCAACTCCCTGAAGGGGCAAGCCAGGGAGTAAAACCAAGAAGGGACAGCTATTTGACGGCTTCATTTTCCTTCCTCATTTGCTCCACAGACTTTGGGATTTGCTGCCAGAGATGGGCAGTTTCACTCTGGACTCTGACTCCTAGAGATAGAAATAACCTTAGAGCACAAAGCACAGAATGTTATAATTTGGGCATTCAGACAAGAAAGGTACCTTAAAGGCCATCTAGGTCTGATCCTCTCATTTTACTGAAGGAAAATGAGAAGAACAGAAAAGGGAAGAGCCTTGCTTGGGGTCACAGAGGGTGAGGATAGTGTGAGAGGACTCGCCAGGCTTTTTCCCAAGGCAAGATGGCAAATGCAAAATGGTGAGGCTAGATTTAGACACGAGGTAGACATAAAGCAATTATATTTTCTGAACCCTAAGTCCAAACAAACAAGATATTCCATGTGCAAACTCTCATTAAAAGAATTTTTTTTTCAAGAAAATCTCCATTGAATAGTTATTGTAGGTGGACCAGATAGGGCTAGTTGCTAAGGAAACATTAGGCTACTATTCTTTGGGTGCAGGAATTAGCAGTGAAAGGACCCTTAGAAATTACCTTGTTCGATCCCCTCATTTTACAGGTGGGGACACAGAACCCAGAGAGGAAAAGTTATTGACTAAGAGATAGAACTGGGATTCACACCCTGGTACTTGGAAGGAAGTATATTAGCACTTATTAAGTACCTACTATGTGCTAAGTACTTTACAAATATCTTATTTGATCCTTACAACAACTCTGGGAAGTAGGTGCTGTTATTGTCCCCATTTTATAGTTTAGGAAAACTGATGCAAAGGGAAGTTAAGGGGCAGCTAGGTGACACAGTGGATATAGCATCAGTCCTGGAGTAAGGAGGACCTGAGTTCAAATTCCGGTCTCAGAAACGTGACACTTACTAGCTATGTGACCCTAGGCAAGTCACTTAACCCCAGTTGCCTCAAAAAAAGGGGGGGTGATTAAGTGACTTTCCCAGGATCCCATAGCTAATAAGAATTCAGGTCTTCCTGTATCTAGGTCCAGGGCTCTATCCACTGTGTGATCTAGCTGTGGCAGAAGCTGAGGCCTGGGACTCCAAATGCATTGTTCTTCCCACTATAGAATCAGCTACCTTTTATCCTAGGAAAAGATTCCCAAGTTCTACGACTAACCAATTCTGTACTCTTAAGTTTGTTGTCGCTTACTTTAAAATACTAGTAAAGCCTTTCTGAAAACTCCTCTCTGTCTCTGAATGAGCTAAGAGAAGACAGTATTGGGGATAGGCCTGGACTAGTTGTATTTTTAGTGAGAGACAGAAAGTTCGCCCTCCAGTATTTCAACAGGGCTGATTAGAAAAGGTCAATAGAGGAGAAGTGGAAAAAAACTTTGGATAAGATTGCATCTGCCTGATTTCTCTCTGACCTGAAGCCTCATTTTCCTTACCTTGTGCAAAGAGGTATAGATAGTGGAAAGACCATAGGATTGGTTCAAATACCAGCACTACTACTAACAACCTGTACAACCTTGGCCAAATTGCTTCCTCATTTGTAAAATTAGGGAGTCAGACTAGAAGATCTTTTGGATCCTTCAAAGCTTAATCTCTCCCTCCCAGAAGAGCCTCCCCATCTCCTGGCTGCTATCTTTGGCAACCCCCCTGGGTCCTACCTGGAGGCTGCAATCTCTGACTTCTGGCGGGCAATGGCCGCTGCCCGCTGAGCCCCCTCCACACTATGGTCCACCTTCTGCCGGATTTTGGTGCTCTTGAGAGCGAGAACACGTTTCTTCATGCCCTTGACCAGCACATTGTGCCTGTACTTCCCTTCCTCCTTCTTGCCATCAGGCAGGGTGGTACAGCCGTAGCCATGCCTCAGGTTGTCCAGCCACTCACCCTCATACTTCAGCCCACTGGAACGCTCGCTGACCCCAAAGCCTGACCGCTTGTCATTTTTCCACTCACCCATGTAGGTCTCTGTGGTGGTAGCATCAATGTCAGACTCAAATGGGGCAAAGTCCTCTGCCTCAGCCCCTTCTCCCAGGCTGGTAGTGGAGGCTGCATCACTGGCTGCTGAACTCAGGTCACTCTTCAGGAAGCTGACCCGGCTCTTCTGGCTGGCCAGAGAGTTCCGTGACTCTGAGCGCCTCAGTTTCCCCAGTAGGGAACCTCTCTGGAAGAAACCACCACTGCCCCGAGGGAGCTTGGCAGCAGCCTCTGCATTGGCATAGAGGCTGAGGGCAAAGCCACCACGAGAGATGGTGGGGGTAGCCACAGTGGTGCCATCCATGGGGGTGGAGGGAGCATCCTGCTGGGCCAGGGTTCCATTGCTGTGTTCACTTCGTAGGGAAGAGAGGGATGTTCGGAGTGGTGAACGGACTACCACTGCCATGCCATATGGGACGCTCTGCCGGATGCCATAACCATGGCGCATGCCATTAGTAAACTGGCCTTGATATGTTCCTAAGGAGAGAGAAGAAAAATAAGGTTAGTGCCTGGGCCCAGGTGGGAACAGCCACCTATAAATCCCAGGACACAGAGCATGTGACTGAATAAGATCTGGGTCCTAATCCAAGTTTTAGCTTTATCTCTGATTGCCTATGTGACACTGATTGAGTCACTTGCCCACTTGGAGACTCAGTTTCCCCATCAATAATGTGAAGAGAATGGATTAGGTCATCTCTACGGTCCCTTCCAGGGGACATCCAGATAGTAAAATGGATAATGGACTCCAGGCCTGGAGTCAAGAAGACCTGAGTGCAAATTTCCTCTGTCAGACACTAACCACCTATGCGACCCTGGGCAAGTTACTCTACTTGCCTCAGTTTCCTCCACTATAAAGGGGAGATAATAACAGCCTTCTTATCTCCTCCCACAGTTGTTGTGAGGCTCAAATGAGACAATATTTGTAAAGTGCTTAGCACAGTGCCTGGCACATAGTAAGTGCTCAAGATTCTTCCTATAGTCCATCTCCATTTTAAAAGCACCTTCGTATCTATTCTTTCATTTAACCCTCATGGTTGTCAAGCAGGGCAGAGTAGAAAGAACCCTGGCTCTGGGGATTGGGAAACCCGGGCTTTCTTGCCAGCTCTTCTCCCTTTCTTTGTGACCTTCTGCAATTCCCTTACATTATCTGGGCTTGAGTTTTCTCATCAGTAAAGTGAAGGGTTGGGATTATATGATTCTCTCATTAGGAGGTTGTATCAATATAAAAACCTGGGCCTAGACACTGAGAAGAGCTCATTTACAATAGGAAGAGAAAATCAAGGCCCAGGGAAATTCAACAATTTGCTCAAGGCCATGACAAAATTCCAGGGTTCCCAATGCCTCCTTCAGTGGTTTTCGTTTTTTTTCTATTGCAGCACCCAGCATACTGCCTGGCACTAATAAAGATGTACTTAATAAAGAATGCTAATTAATTGATTATGGGATGCCAACCTTTCCCAAGTGTGTAGAAACTTAGCTCTTGAGAAATCAAAAGGAAGTAGAAGTGCTGGTATCTGTCCTTTGAGGGTAAGACAAGATCATGCTCTTAAAAAATGCTTAAGTACATATGGAGTGAAAACACCAAAACAAAGGCCCTTCCAATGTTCACACAGATAGCAAGTCTGCGGAACTGAAATTCAGTGTTCTTTTTCCCTAGATGATTTTTCACTAGATGATTTCAATTCAGTCCAGAAAACATTTATTAGGTGCTCACTGTATACAGAGCACCTAGACCTAGGTGGCACAGTGGATAGAGTCTGGAAGACCTGAATTCAAATCTGACCTAGCTGAGTGACCTTGGGCAAGTTACTTAACCCTGTTTGCCTCAGTTTCCTCATCTGTAAAATGAGCTGGAGAAGGAAATGGCAAACCACTCCAGTATCTTTGCCAAGAAAACCTCAAATGGGGTCAAGAAGAGTCAGACAGGACAGAAATGACTCAACAAGAAGTGTAGACAAAGCATCTAAATGATAGCCACTAGGAGTGATACAAAGTTTAGATAAGACAACTCCTGTCCTCCTAAAACTTAGAGCTGATTAGAGGGAATAATACACAGTAACATGAAGAGCTTGCTGCCTTCCTTCACTCCCATCTCTCTGATGTTCCACCTCTCCTTGTCCACTGGCTTCTTCCCTAGTCCCTACAAACAGGCCCAGATCTCCCCCAATTAATCCTTTTTAAAAAAATCCTACATTTGGCCCTACCACCTATTAAGCTATCATCCTATCTCTCTCTTCCCTTTCACAGTTTAACTTTTAGAAAAAGCGTTCTATACCCTTGCCTCCACCTTCTCACCTTTCATTCATGTTCCAGCCCTTTGCTATCTGGATTCTGTTCCTACCCTTCAATTAAAACTGCTCTCTCCTAGGCCACCAGTGATAGAATCCTAATAAAGCTTCCCCCAGACCCAATATTCTAACTTCCTTATGGGCCCCACGGAACAGCAGGCATACCCTGATTTAACCACACAGTCCAGCTTTAACCCCACCACAGGCCCCCAGATATAGCCACTGCCCTATCTACCTCCTCCACCAATATCCTAACTTCCTCATATATGCCTCATTGCTCACTAGAATAACAGGTCCATGAACTCATGTTTCTCACAGAAACATCACGTGTGTCCATATGATGGACTGTTTCTAGCTAGCCACTGCCTCTAGCTAGCCACTGCCCCCGGACCCATTCCTCATATTTCCCACAGAAACAGCAGGTCTGTCCACGTACTCAACCACAACCACATCCATCTAATCTTAGACAGGACCACAATAGCCAGCCAATCAGAAAGCAGCACCACCAGGATGCCTGAGCAGGATGTGAACCCCAAAACAAGAGAAGGGACTTTCCCGAAGTAAGCACCTTTGCAATAATAGTAAAGAATTGACCCAGAGTAAACTTACGACATAGAGAGGCTTATTATAATATCATTGCATATGTGAATGCCCCCCAATGGGTTTTTCTGTATGCACTGTGGGTAATAGCATGCTTAGTTCTACCAAGGCTAGGACCCCTCCCCATTACCTAATCCCTTAACAACACCTCCTGCCTTTTTAATATTCATAATTTTTATCATGTAATCAGCATCATTGCACTATCAATTTGCCTGTGTTGTCTTACCAAGTTGCTGCTTCCTCTTGGAACTCAGCTCGTTGGAGGCGTCATTCCCAATAAATGCCTGTACTTGGGTTACAGGTGGCCTGACTGAATTCTTTGAAACAGTCCTGCCACAACAAAGCATGAAATCACAACCACCAGAACCTTTTGATGGACAAATACAATTTTTTTTAAAGCCCTCATGTTTCTTGACCTCTGTGAAGCATTTGATATTGTTGCTCATCCCCTCTTTCTGGGTACTCTTTTCTCCCTTGGCTTTCTGGACATGGCTCTGTCATGATCTTATGCTGGGCCTATCCTCAGTATTCTTCACTGGGTTATCATTCGTCACTGTATCATAGTGACCCAGGATGGTCACTCTGCAGGGGTGTATCCTAGGATGTTGTCCCTAGCCCTCCCCTCACGTATCTCAGGCCAGCCATCTCTAAATTTCCCACCAGCCTTCACATCTCTGGTCTTCCCCATCATGGTCCTGCCAAGTACCTACCTACCCCCTTACTCTTTTGAGCTTCCTTTTATCTGTTGTCTTCCCCTATTACAATTTAAGTTCCTTGAGAGCTCTGACTGCCTTTCTGTACTTATTGTTTTTGCATTCCTAATGCTTAGCACAGTGCCTGGCACATTAGTAGGGCTTAATAAATGTTTGTTGCCCGGCTGACTAACCATCTTCCATGCAGCTTCCAAAGTGATGCTTCTACAGCACAGGCCCGACTTTCTCGTTCCTCTCTTCAAGAAGCCTCACTGGTTCTCCATTGCATAAGGATAAAACAGTATTCTACTTGGCATTTAAAGCCCATCACAGCCTGGCCCTTGACTATTTCCCCCCAGGAATTATATATTATTCATCCTTAAAGACACTCTGTGAACACGCCAGCCAATCACCTACTTGCCATTATCCACACATGACCTTCCATGTCCTATCATACCTCGCACAGGTTGTCCCCCATACCTGGAATGCTATCTCTTCTCTTCTCCAGCTCTTCAAACTCAGAATTTCCTTCAAAGCTCAGCTCAAGCAATACCTCCTTTAAGAGACTTTTCTTGATTCTCTAGAGGTTAGTGCCTATGCCCAACCACTATAAATGTTTTGTATATATCTATATTTATATATCTATTCACATCCTCTGGTAGGATATAAGCTCCTAGAAGGCAGGAACTGTCTCACCCTTTTTTTTGTTTTTATTTTTGTTCTTTTGGGTAGGGAGCAGACTGACTTGTGAGGTTTTTTTCCCAGTATTGGGAGCTCCTGATAAGGAACTTCCTCTACCAAAGCAAATTGGCTCCTTCTCTGCAATCTTAGAGAGGTCTTAGAGAGCTGCCTGGGGCAGGGAGAAGTTAATTGACTTACTCAGGGTGTCACAGTCAGTGTGTGTCAGATTCAGGTCTCCCTGACTCAGAAGCCAGTTCTTGACAGATCGATGGATCAATGAAGGAAGCTATGCTGCCTCTCAGACGGTCTCACTTTTATATATGTATCCTCAGCATATACCACAGTGCCTAACACATAGAAGGTGTTTAACAAACGTTCACTGAATGACTGATGATAAAGTGTATGGGGTATAAAATGGGAGGCCAATTAAAAGAAATCACAGTATCATGGATGAGAGTAATGAACGTGGGGCGAGAAGACCTGGGTTTGAATAGAGCTTCTGGCATTTACTAGCTGTCTGGCCACAGGCAAGTCACTTTTGCCCTGAACTGGGAAAGAGAGATAATTCCTGTACTGCTGGACTATATACATTATTCCTGAAATTCCTGTCTGCTTATACTGTACCTCACAGAGCTAGTGGAAGGATGAAATTAATCAAACGTGTATTAAAGTGCTTTGTGCACTTCAAAGGGTTATAAAAATGTCACTTATTGTTACTTTTAATATCATTAGCAAGAAAAGTAAAATAGTAATATAAAAGTTTAAAAGTAAGTAAAAGTAATAATTAGTAATAATTACTCCTCCTCCTCCTCCTCCTCCTCCTCCTACTACCAGCACTGAATTTGAAGGCCCTTTTATTATTCGGGATAGGGGTCTTGGGATTGTGGGTGGACGAGAGCTATCTCTTGAGGTCTCCTGCCTTCCAGCAGAGATCTCCTCTCCTCAAGCATAGCCTGTACTTGTAGCCAGGGCAGTCCTGCTCTGTTCCCTCTGTAAACTAATTTTAGAGGTGCTGTAGCCACTGAGAAGCTCAGGAGTGAGATCCAGGAGCCTGGTTGGTTTGGGTCTTGCCTACCAGCAGAAATTGGTAACAGAATCTGGTGTTGATTTCTAGATGACAAACACAAAAGCCTCCTCTCGCCAATGGCTACCAGAACTATCTCTGTGTCAGCTCAGCCCAACCCTAGAGCCCATGTCTCATAACTCCCATACCTGA